ATACGGTTGTGATAGAATCATTCCTGATACGATTTGATAGTTACTTAAACTGGCAGTAAATTTTACCAATAAGTATATATATGCAATAGTTATATTATATGATTTAAATTTTGAATTAGGTTTCGTTCCCTAAGGTGCATCTAAATTTAAATTGCTTTAACTGCTCTAATAAAAACAGATATTCTTCAAAATTATCACAGTTAAGTAGGTGTATGTTGACGGTATCGACAAATTGTTCCATAAGGATGCTGTAAAAGTGTTAGCTAAGCTGTGCACTAAAATTAAACCGTAAAAATAATGCCTTATTACATGTAGAATCAAAAGCAAATCCTCCCGAATATTAATTTAAATGTAAGGAAGACTTTAAAGTTGAAAGTCGCATTGCTTAAGATATTAATTAAGATATATATATGTATATTATTTAAATTATACGTATTGGCACTGTTATTGGTGAATGAAATAATTTATTGTGAAAATTGTTATATATTTAAAATCAACTGAGGGAATAGAACTATTACACCAGGAATTAAAAACTTAGACCATATACGTAGTATACATATAGTATTTATGTTCACTTGTATCAAAACCTGTAGAAATAATCTCAACTGAATGTTCAAGGATAAGAATACACAAAACTCAAACTGTATAAGAAGGTTAAGATTTGCTAAGTTTGTTGAAAAATTTTAAGTAGTGCAAATGTACTTAACTAGAAAAGAATTGAATTCGATGAAAGCGACATACATCGCCGCTAAACCCAGTAACCAAAAATAGAACAAATGTTAAATCTTTGCAAACACAAATGTTGTTGATTCACTTACAACAGTGAACTTACATATAAGAAGCTTAGAGAAAAAATCCATTAAGGAAATTAATTGAGAGACCATACAAGGCTCAGAATATTCACACCCACATACCCATTGCTGCAGTGCCCAAACCGTTGTAGATTTTATGTAGGTAAGAGTTGATGGGCTGTCGCGCACATAGTCACATGTGAGCCCACACTTTAACACTAAATATATGCTAACTTGGTTCGCGTTAGTACTTCAAATTGTTGACATCTGTAGTCGTACATTTGTGTTTGTTCCGGGAAACATCAACTATTTTATGCTGCTTCACTTTTTTCTCATTTAAGTTATGGACCAATGGAGTACAGTTTTTTTGAGCTCAAGTTTTCTTACTGTACCCAATAGAGTTGTGACATAAAAAACTGTCTGTACTGTCATTTACAACTTAAAAAATCTTTTCATATTTGAGTAGAGCACAAAGGCAGGAGAATGCTTTAGCAACACTTGATAGTTGGAATTAAGCTGCACTCAGGAATATGACACTAGTACGGACTCCTTACTGGCTTGATGTACTTTGTAGCTTATTCAAATTATGCCATGTGCTTTACACATAAATATGTAAAAGCATATTCCACTAACATCATTTGGCCACAACTTATTATTCTAAATAAATTTGAAAGGCCACTTGTGGCTAGAAGAAAAAAAATAATATTAAATAATAAAAATATAAGATAGCAAGTAAAACATTTTTTGAATTAAAATTTGCTGCGCTTCCTTGCACTGGGAGAAACACTTCTGTCATACACTTTCAAGCAGAAAGTGACAAAACGGCACACTTGACTTATACAACTGAATATGTACTAAAGACGAGCGAGTGGCATAGTTCCGGTGAAGTTATCTGAGCCACACATTGCGCAACGTCTTAACTATGAGTCGCATTTTATTCGTAATTTGATGGTCCTCATATTTACACAAAATCCATTCTGAATTAAGCAGAAGAAGAGTTCACAACAGGCACAAACAAGTAGAGCTTTAGTAACCACTTCGAATAGAACTAAAACTGCAACTAAGTGTAGGGCATTTAATCTTATAGCCCAGCTATTTCCCTTTCCACAATACCAACAAAAACGTAGTGGCTTTGACATATGGCGACGCGCTCCAAATTGCAGCGCTTGCATATATTTACACAAATATTGCAGATGTATTTTTTTCACACCGTTAATATAGTGAATCCTAAGTAGTTTTAAGGTCTGAATTGGATGACATTCTGCTGCTCCTAAAGCAAAACACCAAACATGGCTGCAATGGCACAGCTTGTATGTTAAAATCATACTTTATGTACGCAGCTGTCTGTTGGTTCCTTCTTGCAGTTCTGGTCTGTTCTGTTCTGTTCTGTTCTGTTCGGCGAATATGCTTCCTTTGGCAAGAGGAAAAAAGGAAAAACCGAAAATCTGATTAACATGAGAGGCTAACAGTTGGGGGAGGAGTACATAAACGTGTACATGGAATCGCACATTGAGGATAATAGCTGCTGCTACAATAGCAACATTTAGCAACCACAACGAGACACTGCAAGCAATAGTAGTAGAAGTAGAAATAGTAGTAGTAGTAGTAGCAGCAGTAGAAGTAGTAGTAGATTTGCCGGAACTCAGTACGGAAATGCTTATGCCAAAACGTATTGCAGAGTGACATAAAATTTGCATACGCAATACACTTTTAGTGGTGCCATTGTTGCCAACAAGCACCAAAAATAGAATAAAAATAAAGTTGAAATTTTAAATTCAAATTCAAATTCAAATTCAAATTTTTATATACGCGAGATGCTGCATTTTAGTTCGACTTAACTTGCGGACTTGAGTTAAATTCTCAGTACGGCATAGCATTGCCAAGTGCTTAGTCCCTTCTGTATGTAGGATTGTTCCGGTTGTTTAGCTTTGTGCTACAATAATAAAATGCAGATGTACATATATGATAAATATGCATACATATGTAAATCATCATTACATGACGGTTGTGCATGTATGTGTGTGTTGCAACTAACCGCTTCGGATGTACATATCCATAATAATCAGTTGCAAGTACTGCTTTACTATGTTTAGAGTATTTAATGTCGATGTTACAAGTGCTTCCACTGACAGTTATTTGCAGTGCCACGCACTTATGCACATTCCTCATGCCTTCAAATCTCCATCCATATTAACAAAAATATATTCACTTAAAAATTTACATAAAATAAAATTTTAGTTTATTTAAATTCATATGCAAAATGGCGACAATGTCACTTTTTTGCTACTATTTCGATTTGTTCATTGAATTTTTGTATATATTTTTTTTACTGCATTATTTTTATGATCCTTTGAAGTGGTGTGTGAACGCCCTTGTATTAAAAAGCAAAATTTATATTAAATATAAAAATTCAGAAATTTGAATTTACACATAAAAAACATGTTTAAAAATATAAAATAATAAATCAAATTAACCATGGCGGTTTCATAATTTATAAGTGCTTTTAGTTTGTTTAGTCATTTCAATGCAGTATTATTAAAAAGGACATACTCGTATAATAAAAAATTTTTTTTGGACGTAGGATATTTATATGTAAAAAAAATATTTATGAATAGTTCAACATAATTTAATAATATATAAAATAATGTATTTTTCGCAGGGTATCGTGTTTTAAATAAAAACATAGGTCATTAGCACCAGCAAAAATAAGATCTATTTATATATATATATTCGAAAAGATCGTGAAAGCTCTTTAGTACTTTTATAGAGAGCTCCATATCTTGAGGTTAGCTATATATATCTTATGTATAAAATTAACATTGTCAAAATGTTAGTTACCGTACTCCTCCGAAACGGCTTTACCGATTTTTACCAAATTTTATATGCGTATTCAGTAGGTCTGGGAATCGGCTACTATCTATTTTTCATACCGCTAAAGTAATTAGAGAGTCCCTACCCAGCAAAAATATCCTTATTGCTTTAACAAAAAATTTTTTATTTTTTTGACATAAATTTTGTTTATATTTTTAAAAAAGAAAAATTTTTTTCTTAATATTTTATGTAACTACGCCAACAAGTACATCGAGCATTTACATCCACTTCGTTTCTTCGTCTTCGCCTTGCATGGCAGATGGAAAATGTATTAAAAATTTTTCTAAAGATTTCACTAATGATACTATATCAAATACCGACGGATATCCAATATATCGTCGAAGAAATCCCGATAATGCGGGACTATGGCGGGTGGTGCCGTATTCGCCTCTGCTAAGCAAGACATACAATGCTCATATAAATGTTGAGTTTTGCAGTTCTGTGAAGAGCATCATATCTATAAGTATGTCTATAAAGGCAGTGATATGGCTGTGTTTAGAGTAGAAAATACTAATGTAAATGCTCCTCCAATGAACAAAAACGGTGAAATTATGAAATTAAGCAAGTTTCATCAGTTGATGCATGTCTCAATTTATTTAAATCGAACGCTTATTTACAGTTAATCCAAGACACACTGAGTGCTTTTATCTTCGACTGTTGTTGGTTAATATTAATGGCCCATTATCATTATTATTATTTACAGTCAATCCAAGACAATTTAAATTTGAAGATACAACAGTTGTTACCAGGGAACTTGGTATCATGCAAATCTATTGATTTTAAATTAATAATTTAATAAATAAACTATTATATAAACTAAATAGTATTGTTTGGCGTTTGTTATTTTTATTTTCCTTTTCGTTCATAGCGCTCCATGCCTATTTCATGCATATACCACATACTTACACACTTATAATAAGTAAGTTACTTTTTGTCTACACTAGAATTTATCTAGAAACTAGAAATAATTTATAAGGCAAAACAACGTTTGTCGGGTTATCTAGTATATATATATATATAAGTTATCATCATCGAACTGTAACATTTTACATATGTGTTGACTTAATAGTAAATGGCTGGATTCCATTTTACTCAAGATATTTGTTAATGGGCGTGTGAGGACTCAGCCTTTGTTTCTGGCATGATAGTTAGAGCCGTAACATGTAGCCTAAATCTAGTTTAAAAAAAAAGTAGTTTTAAGTCAGATTGCAACGAAGGTATGCAGGAA